CCACTCCTTTTAATCTCCACTTTTCAGCCCTAGGTGCATAAATCTCCACCATCCAATCTTAGGAGCCTAAATCTTAGCCATAGGGCACCCATATTTTTGCAAAAACCAAACTGTCGTCCCCCTCTTTCTCTCTAATTCCAGTTTTATTTACCCTTCTCTATAAAAAGGACCCCAAGGGCCTTATAGAAGGGGTCGGTCAATTCACCCAGTTCACAAGGATAAGGTTTCTTGAGGAGTTCAAGGGTTGTAGAAGGAAAGGATGCCTAGCTCTTGTCAGGAGGGGTTCCTGCAAGCATTCCAGCCAATCTGTAGCTACCGCCACTGGATCTAATCAACCATCATCTTATTTTCTTTATTTTCTTTAATGCTATTTTTACTTCAGCAATATTTTAGACTTAATCTCTATTCGTTTGTGTGTTTTGCAAATCCAAATTCGTCCGGTTCAAGGCTAAGGTGTCTCGAGGGGTTTGAGGGCTGAAGAAGGGAAGGACGCCCTGATCTTGTCAGGAGGGGTTCCTACAAGCCGTCTAGCCAATCTACAACTACTACCACTGGATCCGAATTTTGGATCACTTTTATTTATTTCTTTTGTTGATTTCAGTGTTCTTTTAATTTTGAATTTTGATTATTGTCTTGTTTAATTCCGAACATTTTATTTCAGCATTAATAAATTTTATTTTCTTATTTTCTTCAATCCCCAGTTCCATTTTCTTTTTATTTGTCCAAAACGAGAAAATAATAATTTCCCTCGCTTCCATGTGGGTTCGACCCCTTCCTCACCATGTACTATGTTGTTTAAGGTTACGTGAGGATAGGAAAAATATATAAATCTCTAAATTGGTGTTCCAAAGTGGTTAACAACACGCTTCCGCCAACAACCATGGAGCACTGAAATGTTATAGAAGATTTGATCTCTCGTATCAAGGAGAGAACACTACGCATCTAGCAGACCCTACAGCCTTTCATAGCGGCATCTCACACAACAGCTCTACGTCTGGAATCGGATTTGATCCAATTTGGTATCCGAATAGTGGCGCCACTAATCACATGACACTAGATGGTGATAATCTACAAGTCCAGACTGAATAGCAAGGTTCTGATCAAGTTGAGATCGGTAATGAAATAGGTTTGACTATAAATAATACAGGGTCGACGTCTCTAGTTTGCAATCATAATCAATTTGCCTTGAAGAATATCTTTCATGTTCCTTCTCTTGCTAAAAATTTTCTATCTGTAGGTAGATTTACCAAGGATAATAATCTAATTTTTGAATTTCATCCGGATTTCTTTGCCTTGAAGGACCATACGGGGAGAGTTTTACTCCGAGGACCCAGTAGAGATGGACTCTATCAGTTTCTTGGAGTAGTTCAGCACAAGACAGAGAACTCAACAGCTTTTGTAGGCGAGAAAACTTCTATGGTAGAATGGCATCAATGACTTGATCATGCATCTCTCTGAGTTGCGAAAGATATTATTTCCAAATTTGGTTTACCTTATTCTGGATCTTTTAGTTGTCCTTTTGTGTGTGATGCTTGCCAAATGGGAAAAGCCCATCATTTTAAGTCTACCATCTTCAACTACCACTTTTTCTGCACATCTTGAATTAGTTTTTTCTGATGTATGGGGACATGCCCCAACTTTATCCAATGGGGGCTTCAAATACTATGTTCTATTTATGGATGCGTATTCTAGATTTTCATGGATTTTTCCTCTTGAAAGAAAGTCAGATGTGTTTAATGCTTTTATTAACTTTAAGAATCATGTGGAAAATCTTTTTTCTATGAAAATTAAGATGTTTTAGAGTGATTGGGGTGGTGAATTTTGTAATCTCTCTCATTATCTTGATAATGCTGGTATTCTTCACTGCCTTAGTTGTCCTAATACGCATGAGTAGAATGGTAGTGTTGAGCGAAAACATCGGCACGTTATTGAGTCTACATTGTCTCTACTGGCGTCCTCCTCTCTCCCCCAATCCTTTTAGGCATATGCTGCTAAAACTGCCATCTTCCTCATCAATCAACTACCACCTCTGGGCCTTGGTAATCTCTCTCCTTATGAGAAATTATTTGGAAAGCCTCCTAATTATTCTATGCTAAAGGTTTTTGGTTGTAAGTGTTACCCTCTTCTTCGGCCTTATGATGCGCACAAGATGGATTTTCACTCTATTCCCTGTATCTTTATTGGCTGCAGCAACAGTCACAAAGGGCACCGTTGTTACAATGCTGCTACTGGAAAGACATAATTGCGAGACATGTTGTCTTCGATGAGCACTCCTTTCCCAGATCAACATAGCCATTGCCGCCTTCTGTCCCTGTTACCCCTATTGGAGTTCTTCTTCCTTCTTTGGGCACCAATAGTGGTGACATGTGTCCAGCTCCTACAGCTCCTAAGGTATCTTCTTTTCCCCTGCCATCTATATCTGCTACTAATGAGGCATTCGCTACTTCCTCCTCTAAGCCAGAACAAGAAGTTTCTCTCAGTGCTGATTCCCTGCCAGTTCTACGCACCCGCCCTATTTAGGAACTGTTGGACACAACTCCTATTGTAGACCCTCCAATGTGCACTCATACAATGATGACAAGGTCTATGACGTCTAGGTCGGCTCAGGAATTAACTGCCACTTACCATCATTTCCTAGTTGCTTTACTGCATGATGTTCATACTCATGAGGAGGAACCCTCCTCCTACGGACATGCCTCCAAGTCTCCTCACTGTCGGGCTGCCATGGCTGCTGAATTTCATGCCTTACTTTAGAATGGTACTTGGGAACTGATTCCCTATGATGCTTCTATGAATGTGGTTGGCTCCAAGTGGGTTTTTAAAATCAAACGGCACCCTGACAGTTCCATTGATCGCTATAAAGTTCGTCTTGTTGCACAAGGCTTCACTCAAATTTCGGGCGTCGACTTCACAGAGATTTTCAGTCCTGTAGTCAAACATGCTACTATGCGCACTGTTCTTGCTCTTGCAGTTTCCCGTGGTTGGGACATTCGGCAGTTGGATGTTCATAATGCTTTTCTTAATGGCTTCATTACCGAGACTATTTTTATGCATCAACCGAAAGGCTTTGAGGACAGTAATTATCTCCATTATGTCTGCAAACTTCATAAAGCCCTCTATGGGCTCAAACAGGCTCCCAAGCTTGGTTTTCCTAGTTGAGTAATTGTCTATATGATCTTGGTTTTCAGGGTTCCCAATGTGACCCCTCTCTGTTCATTTACAGCCGAGAACAAATTACCATTTACATTCTTGTTTATGTTGATGATATTCTTATTACTGGATCCTCCTCTACTCATGTCGCTCAGCTTATCAGTAATTTATCTCAGACCTTTGCTCTAAAAGACTTGGGGTCGTTGCACTACTTCCTTGGTATTGAATCTCATCGTGATGCAACCAGATTGTTTCTTTCTCAACATAAGTTTAATGGTGAACCGCTCCTTGATCCCACTCAGTACTGAAGCATTATAAGTGCTCTTCAGTATGTCACTCTAACAAGACCTGATGTCACCTTTGCAGTGAATAAAGTTTGTCAGTTTTTACAAGCTCCTACTAAAGAACACTAAGGCGTAGTAAAGAGGATTCTGAGGTATCTCAAAGGAACCATTGACTTCGGTTTGTTTTTCTCAGCACACTCATCAGACACGTTGACAGCATACTCCGATGCTGATTGAACTAGTTGCCTTGAAGACAGACGTTCTACTGGCAGATATAGTTTTTTTCTTGGTTCTCATTTGATTTTGTGGAGCGCTAAGAAGCAACCTACAATAGCTTGGTTTAGCACAAAGGCTAAATTCTCTTCTCTCCGATTTGGGGGTCAAACTTAAGTCTCCACCGGTTCTCTACTATGATAATATTGGGGCCACATATCTTACAGCTCATCCCATTTTTCGGGCCCATACTAAACATATCGAGGTTGACTTTCACTTCCTTCGGGATCTCATTGTTAAGAAGTGTCTGATCTTGCGGTTCCTTCACAGAATAAGGTAAACCAAATTTGGAAATAAACCACTTGCTGATATTTTCACTAAACCACTTTCGTCTTCTCAGTTTGAATGGCTTCGATCCAAGCTTCAAGTGCTTCTAGCCCACTTTCTATTGAGGGGGCGTATTGAGGAGCTAGCCAACCCTAGGTCGGCCAGTCCTAGCTCTTCTCCTCTTACCAAAGAGAGCTCTAGTCTTCCTGCTAAAGAGAGCTCTAGCACTCCTACCAAAGAGAGCCCTAGATTTCCTACCAAAGAAGACTCTAGTCTTCCTGCCAAAGAATGACCAACTACTATACAGAGGACTCTTACCAAAGAGAGATCAATCAGAGCAAAAAGGAAACTCTCTTCTTACCAAGTTTCATACCGAAGAAGGACCTTTCCTTATTTCTTTGTTTTTACTCTTGTAATTGTTTCTAATTTATTCTTTATTATTGGTATATAAATATTCAGCCATGTACAGTTATTCAATATGGTGAAATTCGACCCATTCTTTTAATCTATCTTTCTAGCTTTAATTGATGTATATTTTGTCTTAAGCATTTCCTTCTAGATCAATGGTATGCAATGTTCAGGCATGTGGTTTTCTATTGGTTTGTCGCATGCCCATTAGTTGAAAAAAGCTTTCAGCAAAAGAGGAAGACAAAATTTTAATAGGAAAAAAAATAGAATGGGAGGACGTATGGATGAATGTGCAGGAGATCCGGGGGACCGCAGGGCTCACCCAAGGAGAGAAGACTGTTAACAGCTCGATCGAGCAAAGGCCCACAAAATTGTTGAGCAATAGCAATAAATAATTAAGCATATTAAATAAGGTAGGTATTGGATAAGGCCGTCGGTGATGACCTTCCTCGCAGACATACAGTAAGCGTAAGTTATGGGCAGAGTTGGTTGGTTGGATCAAATAACTATCTTCTCTGATCTCTGTCACGAGGTGAGAGAGAGAGAGAGAGAGGAGGGGAGAGAGAGAGATCTAGAGAGAGAGGGGAGGGGAGAGAGAGATCTAGAGAGAGAGGGGAGGGGAGAGAGATCTAGAGATCTAGAGAACTTCGCAAATTAATCAAGTTACAATGGTCTCCAACATGAAAACATGATCTGATGGAATTATACACTGACAAAGCATTTCATGGCTTCATGTGACATCACCGAAGTAGTCCTGCGGCAGCCATTTGGCAAGATGGGTTGGTGATACTGAAACCCCCATCCACGACAAGGTTGAGGCCGCTCACGTACCTAGATTCATCGCTAGCTAAATACAGAGCAGCCTCCGCCACATCCTCCGCCTTCAGCACCACCCCTTTCAGGTTTGCTCCACCCGACAAGTAAGCCTCTATTTTTTCCTCTTCAAGCCCCGTCGCTGTCCTCAACATTGGTGTGGCAAGTCCATAGGGAGAGATGCAGTTAACTCTAATCCCATACTGACCAAGCTCCACGCTCAAGTTCTTTGTCAACCCTACCACTGCATGCTTTGACGCTGCATAAGCATATGGCGTGTCGCCTGCAATGACTGATGCAACACTTGAAGTGAAGATTATGGTTCCCTTCTTCAATGGGATCATCACTCTAGTTGCGTGCTTAGCACCCAAGAAGGCACCGAAGGTGTTTACTTCCAAGACTTTTCTGAAGTTTTCATTGTCGGAATCTAAGATTTTTTTAGTGGGGCTGCCGGTGATGCCCGCATTGCTGAACATGATATCGAGCTTTCCATGCTTGTCCACCGTGCTGTCTACTGCGTTTCTAACATCTGCATCTTTTGTGACGTCACAATGGATGAAGCAGATTGTCCCTTCTGAGCCAACTTCTTCACAGATAGAGTGGCCTAATTCATCTTCAACGTCGGCGATTACGACCTTGGCGCCATGATTAGCAAACAACCTTGCCGTGGACCGGCCGATCCCGCTCGCACCGCCAGTTATCAACGCCACTTTGCCTTCTAACCTGCTAGAACAAATGGGTATATATGGTTAATTTATGAGGATCTCCATCAGGCATCAAGTCTGAGAAATGTTCTCTCAAGGTTTTACCTTCTTGTTATGTTAGATAGCAATGGGCCACCTTCCATTTTTGCCTGAATGTTGTGCCAAGCAAATAAAGAATAAGAGGCAAAGACCTATATATTCTTAACAACCTCAGAAGTCAGAACCCACTTCAATCTACTTCATAGCAACACATAACATAAAAATCAAACTAAAATAGAGAGCACCTGAATTCTCTCCAAGAACCGAAGAACCGAGTAATGCAGAGGTGGACGGCTGATATCTTGGCGTACCAAACCTGCATACAAAGAGAAATAGAGCAGCTGCACAATATAAGATCCGAGACACCTATCTACTATCAAATCAGGATAGGGCCGAAATTTGGAGGTTGTTTCACCTTACAAGTTATCTTGATTTATACACTTTTCTATCTTTGTGATAGCCATATATATAGGTCTTTGCCCATTTCTTGTTTTGAAGAGAAAACTTAACCAACATGAACGTTTGGGGGGAAGACCAAGTTAAGGCTTCTCTAGATTGAGACAAATGTCTTGGCCAAGGATCTAACCACTTGGTTATCCATTGACCTAATAAAAACTAGAACTTGAATCCAAAATAATCCAATAATATTAATATCTTCATGCATAAAAACATTTTCAAATAAACAATCAAATAAATTTATTTTTATAGAAAATAAATAAATATATAATAATTTAAAATAAATAATTATGTGTAAAAGTATTAGATAGAAATAACCATAAAACAATCATCTTCCATCAATATGTGACTTATCACATGGCCATTGGATATTTTAACATGTTAAGGATCAAATGAGAAACTATGTCCATTCTACCATCAAGAACACTCTTAAGATCATCAACATATGAGTTGGGAGCTGTCAACCGCACGTATTACCGTTGCCAACAAACTCAGAAGAACTCGCATATGACCTTCAACATTTTCTACACACTTTCTAATTTGATAGGCAACTTGACCTAGGAGCCATACTTATGAGAGAGCCACTTAAGCTAAACTAGAAGATCATTTTGGAGCAGCTCCAGCCATGCTGGGTGGGTGCCTTCACAATGACATCTTGTCTGATGTGCCTGGTTAGAAGGTAGCATGTATTCATGGGAATGCAGCCCTTATAGAAAACAGATTGTTGTAGCCCGTGATCAGGTCACAGCACTTCAATTCTTTCTCACCACCCCTCCTGTTCTAATTAAGCATCTTCATATAAATTAAAAATTGAATAAATTTTGGGTGAATTGCATGATTGGTAGATAGGGCCCACGAGATGGGATCAGCTAAACGCTATGATTGTATAATTGGCTGTCAAACCAATGATAACGTCCCACGTCAGTCATTAAAAGCACATGACTCACATCTACTTGCTTGCTGGCTGAGCATTTATGTCTCGCGTGGGGCGTTCTCATTGGTACCAGATAGCTAGAATTAGAGTCCCGCCTTTGCCTTTAATTTTTTAAAAACAAGCTCCTTAGAAGGTAATACTGGATAAGCTCTTAAATGCGGGAAAGTTAGAGTTGGGGAGGGTTTTGCATTTTCATGCATAAGGAGGATTTGGATTCTCAAAATCCAGCTCACTATGGATTTTGGGATGGGTACAGATTGGGAGATTTAGGGAGGCAGGTAGGGTGTGGAATTTATGAAACACTCCCGGAACCTGTTCCATTGCCATCCCTAGGAGTAAACCACCAAATTTGAGGACCATTCATATACAGCTAGATATCCACAAGACTTTTACGGTATAAAAAAAAAACAATGAAAAGAGTTAATTTTGTCCATTCATTCAATACAGTATTTGAGAAGAAAATTTTTAGAAATGTTTTTAACAACCATCAAAGAGTTAGGGGACCTAATACTATGCCCTTTTGACAAATAGAAATAGTGAACATAGTTGTTCACTCTTTAGGTTTGCCTAAACATGGTGTTTGGGGAAATAAGGGAGGTTTAGGTTCTGTTTGGGAAGAATGCAAATGTTGGTTCAATGTAACATATATACACTCTGGTTCAATATTGCTAGTGTTTGATAAGAATGCATTTATGTCTTGAAAATGACAACAAATACAGATTTCAAGACATGTTTCCATTTAAAATGAGAGCAATTTTGCATACAAAAAATGGATGTAAACTTTGCACTCAAAGTTGATCATTGTTAAAATCGTATATTTCAATCTCATTATTTGTGTTTGTACCTATTACGATGAAATATCATTTGGCAAAAGTCTACAGTTATCATTACAAAAATAAACCAACTTTGCATTTTGATAAACCAGACATATTTGCATTTGTACTGATCATTTTTGTATTTGCACTCTTCCCAAACAGTAACCCTAAGTTCAATCACAACTTGGCCTTTTTGGTGTTCATTTGATGAAGTGAAAATTAAACCCACTTAAATAAAGTGTACCACCTTTTGGGGGGTAATTTGGTAAATCTTCATTCCATTAAAAATTTTCGTGGGAAAAAGTAGGATTTTAAAAGATTTTGAAGCATTACATTGGTGTTTTCTATTAAAACAATTACTAAAAGAGGTGTGCATGCAAATTTATTTGAAACATGAAGGGAGGATTTTGCGAACTTAGGTGGGCCCAACCTAAGGCTGACTTGACCCAACCTGGGTATTGGGTTTGAACTTTTGGGTTATGGGTAGGGCTTGGGCTAGAAAACTCGAAATTGTTGTATATAAATTAGGTTTGGGATTGAGTTGAGGCCTCGGGTAGTACAAACTCAACATGAGCCCACTCAAAGAAATATATACACAGATGCATTTTATTTATAAAAATGACTTTTGGCTCTAACAACTCTGAAACTTTACCAAAAACTCATTTTAGACCCTAAAGAATTAAAAAGGTCATTTTTGCTTTCAAACTATGATGGAAATGTTGGGACGGATGGCCTTACCCAGGGTAGCGAATTGGGTAAACCTTTAAAATTTGAATTCAAATATGAATTCTTTGACCCTTGATAAGTTAAGCTCAAAATCCTTCTCTAAAACTAAAGTTAAGCCTTCTTGATAATGAGAATCAAGATATAGCAGAATATTAGGTCTAGTCAATTAAATTCAGTAGTTAATCAAGATGTCACTCTCTGATTAACACAACTACCAAACAAAAAATTTGCAAATACAAAAACAAGTATGCAATATAGTAGGAGCTATAAAAATTAATAGTCAACAACTATAAAGAATAATAGCAGCTGATTATTTAATAAAAAAGTCAGAATACATCAATGCCATTTTCTGTGTAACAGAACCAATGCCATTTTCTGTCAAATTGATGAACCAAGAATAAATTGGACTGGTTAGTGACTTTTCTTAGTGTACCTTAAGGTCCCATCCAATGCAAAAGGGCCTAGAGAATCTTCAAATTTGCTGAGATGTTCTTGTAGGCTGTTGTGTACTTGTTATATAGGTACCGTTGCTAGTTGGGAACGATTTATGGATCTAATTGGAGTAGGGTTTCTAGAGAGTGGCAGTAGTACGTGCCTTGTTCTAACTACGTTTGATCAAATTTTGCACATACTTGTGCAATTCTGCTTGGTTGACAAGTGTCTCTGAAGAGCCATTGGCCTTCTCTGTTTTTGATGGTGCAAATTGAAGGGCCAATGCATATTTATTCTAGTGTAGCGTCGGGCGCATGAGTTGAATCTGCTGGTAGACATCCATCGAGAGCTGAGCTCGAGGTGGAGGTTGAACTGCTGGTTGGTTCTAAAGCTGAGACTATGCCCGAGGATGCTGAAACAACTGTAGAAGCATCTCTTTGACCTCCGCCTACTGTTTCTTCTAGAGCCCGATGACGATGTTGTCAAAGTAACTCTCAACTTCAATGATCTTATCTATGATGTTGTAGACTTTGTCGGAAAAAATCTCCAACTCACTGTCATCATCAAACTTGAACTGGGATTCGGTAATTGGTTGCTGCATTTCCTTAACCAGCTCTTCGGGGTTGGGAGTTAGATTCACTTCAGTAGTAGTCTTCATCTTTTGTGATGCCATTTTTGTGATCAGAAGCACAACTAGAGATTCTTAATGTAGGTATAGGATGGGGGCACTAAGATAGTCTATTTGAAAGACGATTGATGGTAGTGAAGAGAGGTTTCTGGGAGGGTGAGAGCAAAGAAGGAAGGCTAGAGTTTGAGTCCAGCAAGGCTTATGCAAAGCTTATCAAAGAACTTGTGAGGGGATTTCAAAGATCCCTTATTTACAAGAAATCTCCATGGGAAAAAGGAGAGAAATTTTCTTGCTTAGGGAAATGTTAGAAGTTTGTTGGATTTAGGGTACAAGTGCTAGTTAGTGTTTCGCCACATCCATGCAGTTACACCAATACTGAAGTTCCTGCCTTTTCTCGGAGTTTTCATGTCAGCACGAGTATAATTACATCCTCTTCTAGAAGCTTGACTATATGTATTATAAGAGAAGTTATCTTGAAAATGTCTAAGTGGTAGTTAAAGTTATGTTATGTGGGAGGTGGTCCAATCAAGGTTCAAAGTATCGTATCTGTACATAGAAATGGCCAATTTTTTTTTTTTTAATTTTGGTTTTTTGAAAAGCTTTTAACATGCTTTTTATTATTAAAAAAATTGGGGGTCCGAAACACCTGGAAACAGGCTTTTCAGACTGTATCTTTTTCAAAAGATAAAATATAATATACCCCGTATCGGGCATATCGTATCGATACTTTGAACCACGAGTTCAATGCAGAATGAGGCCGCAAAGCGAGATCATACATTGAAATCAGCAACGCATGTTTGTGAGTCAAGGCTAGGGCACTAGGTTTTGTGAGGTTCGCTCATGAAGTGAGGTTGAAGGATGAGATTGCGAAGCATGCGAGATCGTTGTATTGCAACAGGGAGAAACCAAAACCCAACACAATGTTGCAACAATTTTGTGATGTGGGACGTGTCAAGGGGTTCCAATTGGAGGTCATAACATAGTGCACTATCACAGTCCTGTGATGAGAGACCCATGAGGACAGCAAGCATATTTATGGGGAAACCTAATGTGCCTCACGGTTGGTCTTTCATCATAGTGATGCATAAGGCTACAACTTGGGCTGGGTTGGCCCGAATCCAACCCAAAAAGGTTGGGTTGCATTGAGCCGGGTTGATGCTCGGGTTAGGGTTAGAGTTAAAATTTATGAATCCAACTTTACTTCGGGTTGGGTTAGGGTTGACCCCTTAGGCAACCCAAAACCGATTTTATAGTACGTGTCATATATAAATATATGTTATATGTAATATATAACATACATTGATTTATTTAGATGCATGATATTTGTATACCCCTACCACATAGTATCATGTATTTCTTTTAAGACAATCACTTCACTTAATCCTAATAAGAAAGACTAAAACTTTAATAACATTATTTATATTT